ATTACTGTGCAAAACAAAAAAAAATGTTGCTTTGTGTGAGTACTTTTAAATGCATTTTCGATTTTAAGTGAATTTTCAATCTAATGAACTTGCATATAGCATCTGCTAGTTTTACGATCGTATCTTTCTTCTTTAATTTTTTGCTTGTGATCGTCAACTGTCTGCATTAGCCTTTGCTATTTGCCAGATGTTCGGGTAGGTTTCGAAACCACTTTTGCTTTTTTGCCATAAAATCAATTATAAGATCGGCTGCTACCGTAAAGAAACAAACTCAAATAATATCTCTAGTGGAATCAAGTGTAAACAATTGAAATAGCACAGACGTAAGCTGCAATTTATTTAGTTTATTGCATGTGGTGTGCTTATACCTTACTCTCTCTGTCACGATGTTATAGAATAGTTACCACATGTGGCGCTTTCAAAATATTTAAAATTTTTATTTGTTTTATACTCACATATTCTCCACATTTTCCAACACTTGTTGTGTGTCGCTTTGGAAACATTCATGCTTTGAATATGGATAGATAAAAAAAAATGTAACAGAAAATATTAAAACTGATATTGTTTTCTTGGTTTTACTTCTTTACTTGAATATATTTCTAAATAGTATGCACGAGAAAACTGCCTATGAAATTGTAAAATATTCAGGTTTTTTAATTCCCGCAAGGCAGTTTGCAACTCAATACACTAAAATGCAAAGCCACCATTTACAGCATCTGCGTAGAAACAGAGATAATGAGATCAAAAACTCTTATACCTTTAAAAGGTGAGTGTCTAATTACTACCCGTATTTTTCTTAAAAACAACAATGAAATATGTTATAAAAACAACTAATTTGAAGACGCTCTAATATTATATTATGTTGTTGTCCCTATTAAAGAATTAAATATGTCGAATGAGGAATACATGTCTTTTAAAAATTTCATAACTTGACTAGTCTGTGCTCTTAGAAGACTTTGGAGCTTTAAAAGAAACAATACGCTATTCTGGGAGAAATTTCGAAGAAGAAAAATTCTTTAAAATCTTTAGGAAAGTTTCTGAATTTCTTACTGTCTAAAAGTAATAACTTCAAAAGAGTTTCTGAATTAGTACAGAATCTCAACTGCCTTTTATTATTTGTTTTTAGATTTAAAACCTATACCTCAAACATAACCTCATAAATGCAACAGAAATGTTTTTCAGGGTTGACTTGATGTGATGAAATTAAATAAGCATTTTTGGAAATATAAGGATTTAAAACTAAAATGTATGTTTGAAACTTAAAGAACACCATTTAGAGGTTTGTGTATTGTTAAAAATTCAAAATCATATGTTTTATACTTGGACAGAATATGAAACAGACAATATTAACGCCATATTCGTTTTATACAGCCGCCTACTTGAGTCATTTAGAAAATCATTTACACTAAACTGCATATTTAAACTTTTATACCCTGAACAGGGTATATTAAGTTTGCCACGAAGTTTGTAACACCCAGAAGGAAACGTCGGAGACTCTATAAAATATATATATAAATGATCAGCATATGAGCTGAGTTGATTTAGCCATGTCCGTCTGTCCGTCCATCAGTCCGTCTGTATATATGCAAACTAGTCCCTCATTTTTTAAGCTATCGATCTGAAATTTTGTACCTGCCCTTTTATTACTAAGAAGCTGCTCATTTGTCGGAACGGCCGATATCGGACCACTATAGCATATAGCTGCCATACAAACTGAACAATCGGAAGCAAGTCCTTGTATGGGAAACTCCTTCATTTGTCGAGGTATCTTGAAGAAATTTGGCAAGAATATACACTCCGAAAAAATTGTTTAGATCGGATTGCTATGTCATAGCAATTTATTTAACGTTTTTCCTTGTTTATTGACTAATTGACCCAACTAAGGAAGGTTGAAAATCACACAACTGTATGCGCTCTCCACTTGAAACTCTTTTATAGTATATCTTGTAACAACTACTACTTAAGTATAGAGTTACTACATGTTTGTGTTGTTGTAAATTGTGGTCAAGCATGATTGTATACCAACAAACCGTTTCCACATTTATTTCCGTCGGATATTGAAGCTAAAAATATAAATACAAATCTACTACTGGGATATGCAGGTGTGTTTATATGATACATATCTCTGCTTAATACTTATCTCAGTATACCGCAATGCTTGAGCATGTATGCGTATGACCTACAACTGATAAACATATTTGTTAGTGCCGTTCAGTGTTGCCGTGTTCACTTTAATACAGTTCAATTTGCAAGTGGATTACAATGTGGTTTCCCAGAACGCTTGTATACTTGCCAAACTTTAGCTTGCAACAACATATTTGCATTAAATATAAGCTTGCAAATATTACCCAATTAGTACAAGTGCAGACACATACACAAATTAACTCAAAGCAAAGGAGTCCGTTGTGCAAAAAACCGCATTGCCAAATGTAAAGACGACAATTTATGTACGTGTATGTTTGTATACGTGTTTAATTATTGTTTGTTACTTATAGCGAGTTTGCACTGGACGGTTACATCTGAGAAGAGTTTAATTGACACAGTAGAGTTCTTGGCGGACTTATCTGATTTTGAATTTATTCGGAAAAAAACAAGAAAAATTATAATCTTCGGTTGCAACGATGCTTTAACCTTTCACATAACGAAAATATTTCGTACAAAAACTTGCTTTTGATCGCCCAGTTTGTATGGCATCTATATACTATAGCGACTCGATCTGAATAATTTTTTCGGAGATTGGATTATTGTGTCAGAAAATAACCCATACCGAATTCCGTGAAAATATCTTATCAAATGAAAAAGAGCATACAAGCACGTTATTCCGATCGTTCAGTTTGTATGGGAGCTATTTGCTTTAGTGGTCCGATATCGGCGGTTTCGACAAAAGAGCAGGTTCTTAACTCAAATCATAAGCAAGTGAAAATTATAAAAGGTTGTAATTAACTGAGTTTCAAGGCAGCTCAATAATAATAGTTTTTTTAAATTTTTTTGCGATACTATATGAAACAAAGATTTAGATTAAAATCGAAAAATAAAATATAAATATATGGGTCATTCCATCGAAGATTTACTTAAAAAATTTGTTTTTGTACAAAACTTTTTTTTTTTGTTCTTTGAGACAAAACGAAAAATGTACATTAAGCTCTTTAGTTATTCATAAATTTCGGAGTGGATTGTACAAAATTGTAATTTTTACAAATTTTTGAAACTATGTCTCTCGCGTTTGCTATTAGAGCAGTGAGATTTTTTCCACACGAGAAGTAGAGGAATGCGGGATCAAACATGCTTCGCATCGATAAAATTTTATTGAGGACGGTGTTTTTAGCGGTTCATAGTCGTGATTGAAGAGCCATTAAAAAAACTGAACCAAAATAGTTCCAAATTGAAATTTAAAAGTATTTAAAATTCAAAAGTTGAAATTTTGAAAATTCATAACTCCAAAATTTTTCATATTGAGTCGAAATAAAAAAAGGTGTGCAATATTTTGCCTCAATGAACACAAAAAAAATTTTTTTACACGAAAAAATTGTTTGAATGTAAATTTTCGATGTAATGACTTATATACATACAAATAGTGCCTCATGCGATATTGAAGCCTGGATAAATTTTTTGGACAAAATTAGATACTTATAATCTTTGATGTTAGGTATCTTAATGGGTAAAAATTACGCTTGATACTCGATTTTGGAAAGGCGGCTTGGCAAAGCCATAACATAAATTTGAGCCTTTCGATTTTTTCTAAATGGACATGCAACGAGGTTAGCAAAATACTTCATAAACAATCTTTGTTCCTAAAGTGAGTTTTATTTTGAGCAAGAGAAAAAAAAAATTAAAAAAAAAATCCATGTTTATTGTTTTTATAATTTTTGCTTAAAAATAATAATACTTTTTTTTATTTATATTTAATTAATTAATATCGATGAAAAAAATCGTAAAATTCAATATATTATATAATATCTATTACGTAATTTTTTAAGCAAAACATGTAATGATTACGGTCTCTGATATAAAATCAAAAATTACGCTTAATTAAACTAAATATAATGAGTTTAGTCTTTTTAAAAATTATAGAAAATACTCGTACATTTAAGAAACTTTAATCAAATCAAGCAATCTCATCAAATAATGTAACGTAAGACGATAGAAATGGTATTTCAAAGCTGAAGAATTCTCAAATGAATTAGTAATGATTACAATAGAAAAATGCCAAGCAAATTAGATGACCGAAGAGAAAAGACTGAGAATTGAATAGCGCAAAAATTGTTGCAAGCGAAGGCGAGAAAGGAAAATGGAAAAATCACAGCGAATAGTTGAAGAAAATGGTAAGTGAGATGCAGAGAAGAAAAATTTGCCGCATTTACATAAAATATGTAACTCCATTGGCAGCAGAATAAAATAAAAGAACAAAAAAATAATAATGAAATGAGAAAATGAGATGACTGTTGCCACCAAAAGTATGCGTAATTGTATTTCATAAGCGGCTTAAGAATAATGGAAATTTAAATGGAACTGTGTGGTGGAAAATTTCAATACAAAATATATATTATGGTATTTGTAGTTTGTTTTCAAACGCATACAAACGGCATGTTTGCAATGTTGATTGTGGTTAGACTCTCGATAGTGGGTAAAAAAAAAGTAATATTAATATTAATAGTAATAATAATAATAATACGGTAAATATTTTAATTCAAACTAAGTGGGTATTTAATAAATATGGAATAATAAACATGTAAGTACGCTTGTAATTGAAAAGTAATTATGTGCGCATTACAATTAATGCAAGTAATTATGAAACTAAATTTAAATGAAAATGATGGGCACATAGTGCTTTTGTGGTTTTCATTTACATTTAAAAGCTTGCGTGGGTTTAAAAATGTGAACGTGTTGAAAATAAAATGTTTGCGATGGTTGGTTTTTTGCAGTTAATTATAAAATCAATTACTTTTCAGTAAATAGTTGACTATTATATATATATATGTAAGCTTCAAATCTGGACATACCTTTCACTTGCAATGCTTGAGTTGCGTGACATCGACTTTGGTGACATCTCAAAGTCGGAATCCGAGCGATACAAGAACGATTCGCGACGTTGTGGAAGATTTTGCAGTACCAAACCGGCGCTTGGTGAGCCGCCTTCAAGCGGTGATCTAGCGCCTTGGCCATTTTCTACATCGAAGCTGTGGAGAAGAAAAATAAATCATGAGAGAGATAAAAAAATACGGAATTTTTTTTCGTATTTAATATTAGAGCAGGTTAGCGAATTTATGAATTAAAAATTTTGGATTATGAATTAAATTTCCAATATTTAATAACGATTTCGCAAATTTTAATTGAAAAATCGAAAAATATGTGTTGGAAAAGTATTAACGTTTAAATGCGAAATTGAAATTTTATTTTGAACTCCAAAAGAATAAAAAAGGAGATTTATATATTTCTGTTGAGAACAATGGCAGAGTTGCCACACATATAGATTATAATTTAATAAGTGGTAGAGTTGCCATACATATTATAAATATTATATTATAATGACCAGATTACAAAATTTAATTTACAGTATTCAACAATTTCAAACTGAAATATAATAATTAAAAGTAATTAGATGGAAATAAGACAAAGGGTGTTAAATTATGTTGAAATTTTATTAGAAATCAGAGAAATTGTTAACTTCAGTTGAACGGAACTATAATACCCTTCACAATTACAAATGATTCCTTACAAGAACTTGATTTTGATCGGTCAGTTGTTATAGTATGTATATGCTATAGTGTCTCGATCAGAACAATTTCTACGGAGATTAAATTATTGCCTTAGATAATAACTCGGACCGAATTCTGTGAAGATATCTCGTCAAATGAAATAGTTTTCCATACAAGCACTTGATTCCGATCGTTCAGTTTTTATGGCAGCTATATGCTACAGTGGTCTGATAGCGGTAGTTCTGCCAAATACGCTGCTTCTTTTGGGAGAAAAGGACAGGTGCAAAATTTTAGATCGATAGCTTAAAAACTGAGGGACTATTTCGCGTATATACAGACAGACAGACCGCAATCTTTTCAGCTCGTCACTCTGATCATTTATATATACATATATCTTATAGGGTCTCCACCGTTATTTTTTGGGTGTTACAAACTTCGTGTTACAGTTATAAAGTTGTAATCAAAGTTTTTGTAGTTTTTATTCCGGTATTAAGGATTCAAATTTTTGGATTTCGGATTAAAATTATTTTTAAATAAGAATATCGGAATCACAATGAATTTCAAGGTTAATTCAACTGTAATATTAATATATTATTTATAACCATGGTTTAGAGTCTATTAAACTTATGAAAAAATTTGTATAATATAATAAAATATAAGAAAAGGCAAATATCTATTTGTGAAAAAAGTTGAAGTTAAAATTTTTAAAGAAAAAAAAAAAATAATCGCTTGCAGAGTTATATTATATTAGAAAACGCTCAAATTAATTTCAATTTTTTGTTATTACATTTATGTATCTGTTGTATTTGTTTACCATGTAAACGGCGGTAAATTTTACTTTATTAACTTTCAACTTGCCGCGGCAGGTTAAATTTGGCCTTCTGTACATATGTTGCTCATACGCCTCGGCACATGCTTTAGCGGCTCATTATAAATTGCCAACCAACGAGCGAATGCATCACTGTTGGCGTTTCGGCTTTTTGCTTACAAACAAACTTTGCTTTTAGCTAGAAGCATTTTGTTAGTTTGCATAAGTTTTTTTTTAACTTAAATTTTTAATTATATATTTTTCCACTGAATGCCGTGGGTTCTTGTTTGAATGTATACAGACATACATATGTGTGAGTGAACTTTTATTTTATTTGTCAGCTATCATCAACTGAGAAAACGTTTTTTGGGCAGATTATTTAAATTTTTTTTGATATTTATATAAATAAGCTCAGTATAGTGGTTAGGTATTATGCCGGTTCACTCTCACTGCTTCTTTACAATTTTTAACATATAAATATACACACATACATATATTGCAAAATAAACTACATAAATTATATCTATATACCTATGATATGCAGAAACGTTGAAGTGATTAGAGTTTCAATTGTATGCTGGAGATTATTTAAAATTGGCACTCTTCTTTCTACTCCAAATTTAGATAGAAAACATGGGATCAATTCTTGCTTGTTGACTTTGAATCTTGAAAAAATTCGAGAGTAGCTGAGTTCGGTCATTTGAAATATTTATTTTAGAAAAAATAAATCTATTATTTTTCCAAAAGATGGTTTTAGCAATCTATAGCGCAAATGAAATTAGAAGGATAAGAGATCGTAGTTAAACAAATTTCTCAGACAGTTTTGTGATTGCTTAAGTTGATTTCTTTAAGAATTTGGATTTCATTGATTTCGTTGTGGCTGTTTTGTTATCAAAGATGCATTAAATATTTTATTAAAAATATTGATAAAATATTGAAAGTCGTCGAGTTTGACCATCATGTACCTCATAGACTGAACTCCACGATTCATTTTTCGAGTAAGTAGATGGTCAAGCAAAAAAGGTCGTGGTCGAAGTCTGGTGGCGCAAGCGGTGGCTTCGCCAGATTTAACGGTCAAGAGGGTTATGTGTTTGGTGGGATTGATAGACAGTCATTTACTATGAGCTATTTCTCTAGGGCAAAACTGTTAATTCGGACTCATGTTTTCAAATGTCTAAAGGAGGCGATCGCCCAGAAGCGGCCTGTTTTGGCCAATAGGAAGGAATATAAGGAGCACGCCAGGACGAGGGGTGTGATAGTGACTCGGCAGAATTCTCCGGAGCTTGGTTGGGAAATTATTAAGCTTCCACCTTGTTGTTCAGATCTGGCACCAAGTGATTACTACTTGTTTCTGTCTGGGGCTAATGATTTGTTTTGTGAAATATTCACTTCAAGCGACGCTTGTGAATACCGGCTGTTCTAAGTTGTTGCCAATAGGGACGAGTGTTTCAATAATTTGTGTATAATTTCTAAAGCCATTTCCAAAAACTTTGTTTTGACACACAATAAGATTGGATATGATGGTTCTTGGACAGTTCGGCCAGATTATTATTATTATGCTTGCTTTTCATATTACTCGTTGTTTCACTTAAATTTTTCTGCAGATGAACTATGAGCTTTTCCAGTTTTAGCTCGATTTAATAAGGAAAATCTAGTTAATTTATGGACTTTATTTAATCCCGATAATGAGACAATTACTTATCCATTCGTGTATGTTCCTTCTTATGGTCTTCCACATTTCATCTTTACCGGTTTCTCCATAACCTTTAGTTAAAAAGTCGAATTTTTTGCGGGTGCTAAAACGTCTTCGGGTCCAAGCTAATGTAACTTTTTTTGTATCAAAAATTATGCGACTAACGCAGCAGTGAAGTCGATTAGGATTCTTTTTGAACTACAACTGAAAGGCAAAAGTAATTTTGACTGACCGACTACTTGGACCAGGAAATTATTAAACTCAGCGGCTATGACACTAAACATTTCAGCTATGCATAGATTCCTAACTAAAGTTGAATCTTTGTATTGAGAGATTAAAAAACTACAATTGTCGCCAGGAGTATAATCGATATTTATAGTATAGTATAACGATACACCTGTAGAATGAGTTTTACATAATTTATATAAAATTTATCAACTTAGGCGGAAAGTTAGATTTGTTTGATAATTGTGAAAGGTGTAAAAAAGCATCTTTCACCAAAATTAAAATAAAAATAGCAACCGACTTGTCCTCCTTCCTTCCAAAGCTGCCTTGATTGTGTGTGCGCACAGAGCATACATAATAAATTAATTAATTTCAGTTTTGGCTGTGAAGCCCTGATGAGCCAACTGTGTCGCTTGCTGACTGTGATGCTCTAAAGTTGGCCATTTCAGCAGCACTCAAGTTGCTTGGTCACCGTTTGAGAGCGAAGCTTTGCTTTGCACCATATTTGCGGTATTCCAACACTTCCGCCCACCGCCTACACGCTAACTACCATCCACCAAAGTTGGTTGCTTTGGTTTCATACGCAAGCTAAAAGAAAAATATTTGCACATATAATTAGGCGCAGCAAGTCGGCTGGTAGCCTTTTAGGCGCTTAAACCAAAACACCAACTTCAATTAATTTATTTCAAGTTTATAAAAAATTTGCATGAAATATGCTTAAATTAAGGTTTATTTTTTAGACTAGATTATTTTCACTGAACACTATTTATTTATCATTTACGCCTAAATGCACACGTGTGTGTGTTATTTGTTACCTTTGTTAATATGGAATGTGTGGGTGTGTGGGCGCTTTGCTGTGAGCAAATTGGATTCTCGTTAACTCTTCGATAATTAAGCATTAAATTTGCACTCAAATAGCATTTCGGGTTAATTCCCATTAAAACAAGAAGTTCTTCAAAAGTGACATGCGTATTCGGTTACATTCTAGAAATCAGGCGCAAAGCCTGGCCCAAATTTCTCACAATTGCTGCTGGCATTAAACTATTATTATTTTTTAGTATTAATTAGCTCGCTTCGAGTGCTTTTGCGTTAGACACGTGTATATGTGGGTGGCTAGTTATTTATGCGTTGCGAAACACAAAGCAGTGAATTTGATAGGTTGGCAGTGTATATCGAATTTCCAGGGGAAGGGAAAATAAAAATAAATGCCAAAATAACGGAAATATCGCTAAAAGCAGGTTATTTAATATTATATCTCTTCATTGCCAGCTCACTAATCAAATTCCAGCATTTAAATTTCAAACAGCAAATGTGTTTTTAGCAAATTTCGATTTACTGAATTAGGAGATTAACAATGAATAGTTAATGATAATTTTATGGTTTCAGCAATAAATTTTTTAATTTAAGTAATTTTTGTTAAATTCTGCTATGTTGTGTTATATTGCGTTGTGCTATGTTATGCTTTGTTATTATGTTAAGCTATGCTACTAATATTTATTTTTTTCTGTTAAACTATACTATACTGCTATATGCACCGTATATATACCAAAAGCGATGACGTGATTTTGACAGCTCCTGGCAGCCATGTTTGTTTGCGGATTTGTGTCAAATTTTGTTAGTATGTTTAGTAAGGTTTGCCATTTTATCATGTTTCGCTTTGGAACCACGGAAATTGTTTAAGATTATTACTAAAATTCATGTGCTCCGGTTGCTACTGCAAGAGCTCTTTGCGCAAAATATGGTCTTTTCAGATGA